ACCCTTTACCTGAATTACCTAAAAAACAATCAAATAGATTTTAGTAGCATATGATCAATAATAGAATACGACGTTGTAGCATACAGATTACTGCAATACAGATCAAAAGTTGATAACAATATTTGACAGTTCAGTATGTATTTTTGGAAAGATGATTTTATAGTTTAGATCCCAGCTAGCACAGAAATTTAACAATACCTACTGTTAATGGGCTTCACATTGTAAAAATATGTACTACACGACGTTCCTTTATCATTACACATTATACATCTTTGCAAAAGCTTTTTTTGTAAATAATGATATGCTAAAATTATAAAAGCTTTTATACTAATTTGCAATTGTTCGGGTGGTTCAACAATAGGCCCTTGAGGCTGCAGAGGATGATCTCTAATGTGAAACCTAATTTTAGTTACAAAAGCTGTCATATTTTCATCACATTCACATCACATTTTAAGTGGAACTTTATAATAGTTACTTACACCACTTTTTATTAATGTATTGCAGTAACAAGCGGTGAAATTGTGATACCTATGTATTCAATTATCTGAATAACTATTGGAATTCAGGTTGTATTTTAAAGGTATTGTCTGCTCACATTTTTAGCTAAAACTGTATGTAAGAAACTTGAATAGTTTCAATATACATAATGAAGTTCTTGTAGAAAGTCAATCATTAGAAAAAAATCGTATCAAAAATTTGAAAAAATATATTAACGTAAACAATAAAAGATCATTTTTTAGTTCGAAATAAAAATGCTTATAAACAATTAATTAATTCAATTTTACTCTAAAGGTTGTTACATGTTACACTACAAGAACTAAGCTTAGGGCAATCATATACATAGGTTTTCTAATATAATTTGCATTCAAAAAAAATAAAGAAAAAGAAAAAAGAACTAAATTGGCTTTTTGATTCCATCAAACTCGGGTGCCAAGATCAGTATTAAAACGAATGGCCAGTTCAGTTGGTATAATTTAATATTTAAGTAAAAAATGAATAAAACAAATTGCTGATTTGTACGTGTAAGATATAAATAATATATTTATTTAGTTGAAAAATGTCTATATCATGTACTCGAATACATATTATATCTATATCAACTATATATTGATTCTGAAAGTTTTAGAGTTATTCTTGGTCATTTTACAATAAAAAGGTTGAAACTAAATATATTTGTTTTATTTTTCCTAATCATTTTCCCTAATATGTAAGAAAATATACACTAAAAATGAATACTAAAAAAATCTAAATATTTATAAAAATTCTGGGAAATGTGTTACACGGACATACTAGTAAGTAATATTTTTCGGAGCCGTTGAATAGCTTTTTAGAGCTTCCCAACTTCCTCCCGATTATCAAATTCAATTGCTTGTAATTTTAGTCATTATCAAGTTTTAAGAGCCTAAAGATATAATGTTAGTACATATCTTCTTCTTCAAGTGTCATATTCCTAGTGAACGTTGACGACTGCCATGTTAACAATATCTATGTATCGCTCTCGATCCTGCACTACATGGAGTAATTCATCCGCACTCAAGCCTGTCCAATGCCTTTTAAAATAGACAAAATTTATTTTTGCCTAATTTAAAAATTATTAATTTTTAAATTCGGCAATTGCATTTTAAAATAGTCAAAGAAAGTTAATAAAAATAAGGTCTTTGAATTATCCGTGTTTTCGATTATCCGGCGAAGGCTTGGTCCCGGCTAGCCCAAATAATCGAGGTTCTACTGTATCTTCTTCTTCAAGTGTCATATGTTCCTAGTGAACGTTGACGACTGCCATGTTAACAATATCTATGTATCGCTCTCGATCTTGCACTACATGGAGTAATTCATCCGCACTCAAGCCTGTCCAATGCCTTTTAAAATAGGCAAAATTTATTTTTGCCTAATTTAAAAATTATTAAATTTTTAAATTCGGCAATTGCATTTTAAATTAGTCAAAGAAAGTTAATAAAAATAAGGTCTTTGAATTATCCGTGTTTTCGATTATCCGGCGAAGGCTTGGTCCCGGCTAGCCCAAATAATCGAGTTTCTACTGTATCTTCTTCTTCAAGTGTCATATGTTCCTAGTGAACGTTGACGACTGCCATGTTAACAATATCTATGTATCGCTCTCGATCTTGCACTACATGGAGTAATTCATCCGCACTCAAGCCTGTCCAATGCCTTTTAAATTAGGCAAAATTTATTTTTGCCTAATTTAAAATTATTAAATTTTTAAATTAGGCAATTGCATTTTAAATTAGGCAAAGAAAGTCCTCCTACTCTGGGTGCTCTCCCGCTCACAAAAGGATAGAAGGCAATGAAAAAGCAAACGATCTGGCTAGAAAAGAAGCGAACACTCCACTAACTGGACTAGAACCGTTCTGTTTTCCAAGCGGATACCATCTTAAAGCGGAACTGAAGAACCTGGAGGACTCCATCCGTAACCTGGAATGGAATCCTCCAACGGTCTAAGACATTCCAAAAAGATCCTCCTTACGACCGAGAAAAATCAAAGATTTTCCTTGATTTAAGTAAGAACAATTTTCAGATTCTCATGGGGACAACTGTCAACAGGACACTGTCTCCTCAATTAACACCTGAGTGCGCCGAGACAACCGTTCGTGCCATATACTTTGGTAAGGCTGATGTCGAAGAAGGAGAGCTGGCCTCTGCGAAGCCGTCTCAGAGACTGGCTTTTGTCAAAGCCCTGAGACTGTATGATGAGTTATAACCCGTTATAACTCAAGAAAGGGGAATATACAATAAATCTGTTCGCTGTTTCCGGTGATTAACGCACCTCCTAAACATTCTATATTCCACATTCTAGGCTTCAATTTAAAATAACATTGATTTGAAGTGTTTTATAACAAACGAAAATAGATAAAAAAAATATTTTTTATCTCCCTACTCACGATGTCAGGAAAAAAAATACTTTTTATTTTTTTGTAATTAGCTATCTTTCAGTAAAAAAAGCAACTTTCTAGAGTAAGTCTTTACTTCAGTAGAGACGACACAGATAAACATTAGCATTTTATATATGTAGATTTGATATCAAATCGGTTGATTTAGACAGATCGAACATGTCGACTTTCCTTAACCTAAAAACCAAATTTCAGCTTTCGAATTTTGATTTATGATTTAACCAATGCTTATTCTAGATCAAGTTTCTATCAATTTTACGCATGTTTTATTTTTTATCTCGAGAACTATTAGAGATTGGTATAGGTTAGTATAATAGAAAAATTTTGAGATATGAAAGTAGTTTCGAAAAATATAATAATATACAGGGTGTTCCATTTAAAATAATAAAGATGCTACCACTTTTTAGTACGAAGCGGCAACACTGTAATGCTGAAAATAATTTAGACAGATGGAGCAGGTCCCTTTATGCAAAAATCCAAATTTTCAAAAAAATCCTATCACTAGTTCTCCATAAACTTCTAACGTGCCATGGCCATGAATCTCACCCTGTATATTATAAAATAAAATACTCAGATATGGCAATTCAAGAATATGACTCAGTCGGACTAGCCTTACGTTATTTATGCTGCAAGTTTAAATATCATTACATCTACTTTTGAAATATTTCCAAAGGGATACAGAAAACAGTATGAAGCGTAGAGTAAGAATTATCTTTGTGTATAGAAAAGTGGCCATCAAAGAAAGTACAATTAGTAAGCGCTTCTGTAGCAAAAGTTCTACACTTGAAAGAAAGCGCTAAGAAATGTTAAAGCGGGAAATAATTAAAGAGAAAAATAAGTATTTTTAATGGCGTTTGTGATGCCACCACAGATTAGGTATACTATATGTATACAGATAAAAATCTTATCCCTAATTTGTGGTACGAAAGAAAATTGTTTTTTATGACGATGTGCAAACGAGTTATATTTCCTGTGCGCAAAAATAAACTCGCGTAAAATAACAATAAACAGCGTAATAGAGAGATATCGCTAAACCGAATAGCGTGCATGGACGTTAATAAGGCCAGGTGTTCCTTTTCGTGAGGTGGTATTAACTCTCTTCATTTATAGTTATCGGATCGGAAAGAATTCTGTTCGCGTCGCGTCCACTATTTAAACTTAACCTAACTTTGAATTTAAAACTTTGAAATTGTTTTGTTTACTAGTTATTTTAAAACTAAAGGGCTAAAGTGCTTATTTCCAGTGCTTTATTGTTCAACGTCTGCCAGTGGGTTTAGGGCAACAAGTAACAAATTCCCTTAGAAGGGCTAAGTCGTCATCTGCTGTAAACCTAAGCCTCTTTATAGGTTCTTTAATATTGGAAGAGGTGGAATCCATATTTTGGGCCATATTTATTTAATTAAAACTAATCCCAGCTACTTAAATATCAAATTACCTAATAAAACTAAAGTAATAATTCAAAACAATTCAAACATAACCTAAAATAATAGATCTCGCCGGCCGGCCCCGGTTGTCAAATACCCGCACTAAATTACGTTTAAAATTAACATTGCTTAAATACGCATTAAAATGCCCATTTAAGCAATGTTAATTTTAAACGTTATTTAGAAATAGCGCTTGGTGTAATTGATCCGCAAATTACGTCAGGCGGTAACGTTATTAGCGGGTGTTGCGTTAAAAACTGACTCGCGCCATTACTCGCGCATATCGTAACCATGATAAGGTACGCGTAAATACTGCATGACGCTATTCGGTTTTCCGATATCTCTCTAATAACTGTGCCGGTCAGGCGCTGTGCACAATTTTAGAGGCCATAAGTGGGCGTGCTATGCGCGCAAACTAGTAACCTAACTAGTGCCCGATTCCGAAAATTGGAACCACGAAAAACGATAAAGAAAAAATAAAGTTTATAATCTGTCTAATCTGTGATGCCACTCTCCTTTGACTAGCTTCACTTGTTATAACTGCTAAGTTCAGTTTGAACTCTTATTGCTTAATAATGCTACCCTAGCCATTTCTTGAACATCTAGGTATACTATCCTATTATAGCTGACCATTTTTTCAAACAAAGTACCAAGTGGGATGATGCTCCTTATCTCTACCCTCCATAGAAAATAGTTAACTATAAAAATAAACTTCTTTTCAAATTTATATCACTAACAAACAGACATTTATTAACATAATAAATACAATAATCTATAATGTGGATCATTTCATATACCCAAAAACGTCGGAGCTTCTTATTTTCGAGGTAAAACCATCTCCACCAAGCCACTTTCATTCTATCCCAAACATTTTCGAAGCTAAAACAAATGTTTACTTAAACCACAGATTAGGTATACTATATATTATACTAATTCGTGGTACGATAATTGTTTTTATGACGATGAGCAAACAAGTAAAATTTCATGTGCCCAAAAATAAACTCGCGTTTAAACAGCGTAATATCTGGGCCGGTCAGGCGCTGTGCACAATTTTAGAGGCCATAAGTGGGCGTGCTCTATGCGCAAACTAGTAACCTAACTAGTGCGCGACTCCGAAAATTGGAACCACGAAAAACAATGCTTGTGACGATAAGTTTATAATCTCTATAATATGTGCTTAAACTATATAGAAAAGCTGAAATAATGTTTACCTGTCCATTGCAGGTCTAACATCCAATAGAGCAAAATTAAATTTGCTATCAACCTTGCCACCATCGTAATAATCAATTACATATCTGACTTCTTTGCCACATCTATCTACTATCCAGTCATGTCTGTCAAAAGGTAACTCATATCCCAAAAGCTGTCTTATTCTAGCCCTTGGACTGTAATCAGAAGCTTTTCCACCAAAGCTCTTTAACCTGAAGAAATTTTATATACACTCACCGGCAAAAAAAACCGGTCACTAAAAACTAGTCCCAATTTCAAAGTTGGATTTCTCGCGAATCACTCATTAGATTTTGATGATTTTTTTTTAAATTGTAAATTAATTCCTTCTTAACGGATGCTACGGCAGAAATTTTTATTCGGAATTTATTTTGAGCATATACAGAGCACAACAATAAGACAAAGTTTTTTGCCCGAACTTTGTAACACCCTGTAGGATGCAGCAGCTGTAGTAGCTATTGCTAAATCGAATCACATTGTAGCCTCATCTTTTGTGAGCATTTTGTTTTTGTAAATTACAACATTATCTCTGTTTGTATTGGAGATACGCTACTTTAAAACGAACGGCTCGGAAAAATGCTTCGCAGGCAAAACTGCGATTCATCCGTGAAGAGGACTGTAGTCCATTGCTCAATATCCCAATTCACATGTAAACGCGCAAACTGAAGACGTGCTCGACGATGTCTTGGAAGTATCTGGGGTCCTGCGGCAGGCCTCCTTGCAGACAAGCTATTTTCTTTTAGTTTTCGTCGGATTGTTCTCTCACTGACTTGAGTTCTACGCACGGCTTGTAGCAGATGTTGATTCTGAAACGCTGTAATTCTACGATTTCGTGAAGTATTCAAGACAATAAAGCGATCGTCAATTGCATTTGTCTTCCATTTTCTTCCAGAACCCACTCGCCTGGTGAAATTTCCCGTTTCCATATACCGATTCCAGGCATCTTGGACTGTTGTTCGAGGTATACCCAGGGTAGCAACAAGCAACATCCGTCACAGATAATGGCATTTTTTAATTTGGCAACCGTTGTTGTCTAATTGCAAATATTACTAAATCCGTTTTCGCCTATGTCGTCGCCTGAATTATTTATACATAAAACTTTCTGCCTGCGAAACATTTTTCCGAGACCGTCTTCAGTTTGCGCGTTTACATGTGAATTGGGATATTGAGCAATGGACTCCAGTCCTCTTCACGGATGAATCGCAGTTTTGCCTGCGAAGCATTTTTCCGAGACGTTCGTTTTAAAGTAGCGTATCTCCAATACAAACAGAGATAATGTTGTAATTTACAAAAACAAAATGCTCACAAAAGATGAGGCTACAATGTGATTCAATTTAGCAATAGCTACTACAGCTGCTGCATCCTACAGGGTGTTACAAAGTTCGGGCAAAAAACTTTGTCTTATTGTTGTGCCCTGTATATGCTCAAAATAAATTCGGAATAAAAATTTGTGATGTAGCATCCGTTAAGAAGGAATTAATTTACAATTTAAAAAGAAATCATCAAAATCTAATGAGTGATTCGTGAGAAATTCAACTTTGAAATTGGGACTAGTTTTTAGAGGCTGGTTTTTTTTTGCCTGTGAGTTTATTACAGATTTTAAAGTTATATTTAAAAAGATCTGAAACTGTAGTTTGATTTAAGAAAGTCCATTGCATCAGAATATATTGCCAAAGTTTCCCGAATACAACCCTGCATGTTTTCTAAATAAAAATACTCTTATGCATATATTTTCTTTTTAAATGAAACAGACAATAATTTTATACTAAATAAGCATTACCTAGGGTCCGTACATTCATTAGCATGTAAAGCTTCCCATTTTAATACTTCTTGCCAGGCTTGTTCGTTATTAGCATTGTGAATTTTTATTATATCATTCATATCTTTTTCTGACACATCTTCATCTTTCCATCTCCAACCCTTCCTCAACATGGCATTCCAAAACATCTAATTAAGCATGTATTTTGCATAAATATTATAAATTCTAAAGAATATTGAGACTGTACCTGTGCACTTGGATACATCCAGTATGGACTTTCACCTTCTTTAACAATAGCCTTAGGTATAGTAGATAGTTGTCTTTCCTTTGATAGTGAAAAAGGCTGGCCCGGTGACGGATTCTGATTTGCTGGAGTCATCTATTAATTGGTAGTGAATTATTAATTACAACTAGATCAATAAGTCATAGTATACCATATTTAAAGGATTTATATCATTGTTGTTGTCATGCTGCACTGGACATTCTGAAGCAGCAGGTTGGTGTTTTTTATGCATGGGGCATTCTTCTGGGATGTCTGCAGTGTTATGTTGTTCAGCACTATATTGCACAAAAGAATGTTTCTCGATAGGTTCATTTGGATGAATTATCTGAGCGGCAGCTATCTCTGCTGCTGATACGGTATTACCCATTTTAAAGTGTACTGAAATTATATAAGATGATTGTAATTTCACGTTGTTATAACTATAAAAAAATTATGAGATCCAAGCTTTATAAAACATAAACATTATATAACTACACTTTGTATACCAAACCATGCAATTTTTGCAAATAATTTTTAAGGTACACTTACATTTAGGAAATGTTTGATACCCTTACCTAATTTTTCGTATTTACTTATTATTTTTTACAATTTTGAAAAGAAAAATGTCAAAAGTCTGCTGAAAGAAGTTAGTAAGTTAGGTTAATGTCAAGACGGGCATGTCTTCTTTTCTTTTTAAACGAGCAAAATACCCCTTATGGCCTTGGTTTACACAAGTTTTTTACCAAAAATACTCCATATCCTTTGATTTACCCTAACCATTCTCTGCCCTAACCTTTACCCTAACCATCCCTTGTAACCATCCATCATATCTGATCATATACTCTGATCATATATAATCACTTTGACAGCTTTGACGTTTAAGACGGATTTGTTATTTAACCCCACTTCTGCCTTTTTTATTTATTTAATTTATACATAAATCAAACATATTAGAAATTGCAAATAGAGCAGCTATATTTATGCAGTTTCATGAGTTTCTTAGTGTATCAAAAGAAAGGCCGTTCACTTTTAAAGTAACAAATAAATAGGTACCGCTCTTCATGTAATATCCACTTTTAAAAATTAGCTATGTCTGTTGTAATAGAGACAACTCTTGGTGATATTACAGTAGATTTGTTTCTTAATAGTAGACCAAAAGCCTGTTTTAATTTTCTAAAATTATGTAAAACAAAATATTATAATTTTAACCTGTTCCATACTATCAGTAGAAGTTTTATTGCACAAACTGGTGACCCTACAGGAACGCGTAAAGGTGGAGAGTCAATTTTTGGTGTAATTGATGGACCCTCGAAAAGGTAACAGTTTTTAGTACTAAATTCTATTGCTATATTAATGTTAAATATGTTCTGTTTAAATTTCATTTTTATTTCATTTTTTATTTCATTTTTAAATTTTTAGATACTTTGAAATGGAAAATGAACCGAGAATAAGGCATACCCACCCTGGCTTAATATCATTTGTTGGAGGAGAAGATAATATGATTGGCTCACAATTCTTTATAACTCTAGGTGAAGACCTTACATATCTAGATGGTCATCACTGTGTATTTGGTGAAGTTGTTGAAGGCATGAACGTGTTAGAGGACATAAATGAAATTATTTGTGATAAAGATGACAGGCCTTACAAGGATGTGAGAATTACTCATACCGTAATTCTAGATGATCCATATCCTGATCCAGAAAAGATTACAATACCATCCAGGTCACCTTCTCCAAGTGCAGAGAGATTAGCTGGTGGAAGAATTGCTCCTGATGAAGATGTTGACGAGACTTTGGGTATTTTGATTAAATTTAATTAGCAAATAGTTTACTTATAGCTTTTCTTCTGTTTTTAGGAAAATCTGCTAGAGAAGTTGCTGAGCTCCAGGCAGAAAGGGAAGCTAAAGCTCGAGCAACAATTTTAGAAATGATTGGAGACATTCCAGATGCTGATGTGGCCCCTCCAGAAAATGTTCTTTTTGTGTGCAAATTGAATCCTGTTACCACAGATGATGATCTGGAAATTATTTTTAGTCGGTTTGGCAAAATTAAATCATGTGAGGTAATAAGAGATCGCAAATCTGGTGATTCATTACAGTATGCTTTTATTGAATTTGAAGAGCAGAAGTCATGCGAAGATGCATATTTTAAAATGGACAACGTACTTATCGATGATAGAAGAATTCATGTTGATTTCAGTCAAAGTGTTTCCAAAATTAAATGGCTAGGAAAGGGCAGAGGTGTAAAATATTTGGATGAAAAAAGTGCAAAAAGCGGATTAGATTTTAGTGAAAGGACTAGAGAATCACACAAGAATAATTCAAATACTAAAAAATATAATAAGGAAGAAAAACATTATTCAAGGAGAGAACATGATAGAGAATATCAGAAAGACTCGGAGAAAAAAAGGAATAGGTCGTCAGAAAAATATAGTCATAGAGAGTACAGTTATAGGGAAAATAAGGATAAACATAAAAAAGACAGCAGAAGAGAAAGAGATGAAGATAGACATTACAAAGAGAAATCAAGAAGTAATAAAGAGTCAAGTAAATCACATAGGAAGGATTCAAGGTCTCATGAAAAAAGAAAAAAATACTCTTCCAGTGAAAGTGACAGTGATAATTACAGAAAGAGAAGGCACAGAAGATAATGGAAGTGTAACTATATTTAATAAATGCTGTATAAAAAATGTATTAAAACTTATTATTGAAAAAAAGTTCCTATAAACATGGGTATGGACATGCATAGTTTTAGAGTTACAGGATGTTAAAACATTTTAAAATTAAGTTTTTTGTAATTATCTTAAATGCCATCATTTTTTATTTGAAATTGCTGTCGGTTAGAGTAACAGTAATAATAACTAATAGAAATAATATTTAATAAATTAGGTAAAATATATAATTTATTAATTTTATTTTAATTTTATTAACTGTGATTAATAAAATTGCGTTTATCTCATCAAGGAGGCCGAAGTCGACAAAATATCAAGAGATAACTTTTAATTGGCATTAAAAGGCCATCGCAATTTGGATATCAGAAGAAGAAAAATCAGTGGTGCACGTTTTTTTTGAAAAATATTCCAGTTATAACCCATATGCACGTCCCTGATGAATTTATTGACACTTTTTTAGCATTAAAATATGTAGCACTTATAGTAATTTTCACCCTCAAAATTTCATTAGAATCACTAAAAGTACTTGGAAGAAAATTATAATAAATCGAAATATTATTAAGACTTTTAACACCCTGTAGCAACGAAACAAAGCAGAATCGGACCTATGTTGATATAAAAAATAAATCTTATTTTTACGTGAGGAATCTCCCCACGAGAGATGGCACATGTTTTTTGAAACACCCTGTATTTTACTCCCAGCTCGCGTCCTTACCATTTTTTGTCTCGCGTGTCGCCTAGCTAGCTCGTGTGTGACGGCTTTGAATTTTTCACTTCAAAAATAAAAAAGATATACGGGAGAACCACTTTTGAAAAACACCCGGTATATAATTTTTAATATAAGCAACAGCTTAAAAAAATATATTTTTTGTCCCACTTAATTAGAAACTCAAATATTTGAAATACCCGCGATGCAATTCTTGTAGCCATATATCAGTGAACTCCCAGAGCTAAATCACGCTGAATAACTAGTTAATATATAAACAAGGGCAATAACTGTACTGATAATTTTCCAATGCTAACTACAAATTAATCATGATTGATGCATGATGAGATCTTGCATGTCAACTGGGTATGTCCTTGGGAAACTGCAGTGGGATTCTGGATTCTGTAAGCTCCGTAGCAAGAAATTTCTTGTCTAGCCTATGCTATTTGTATACGATTGATGAATCTTTAGACAGGAAATATGATTACAGAATCGGGACTGGGCATTTAATAATAAAAAGCTAGCCTAGACTGCGTACAATAGAAATATTACGCCACACGCACATAATATATAGCTTTGTTCGCGTTCTTATTATTACCAATTCTGAACTGTCCTAGAACTCTGCCGCACATGCGCTAATGAAACAATTTCTCCGTATTTCCTTCTGCGCATGCGTATCACAGTTCTAGGACGGTTCAGAATCGGTAATAAGAAAAATAATCAGAAGTTCAGAATCGGTAATAAGAACCGCCCTAGAACTGTGATGCGTATGCGCAGAAGGAAATATTAAGACATTATTTCATTTGCGCATGCGCTGCAGAGTTCTAGGACGGTTCAGAATCGGTAATAACAAGAACCCGAACAAAGCTAATATTTTAAGAAAACCAGCAGTCCGATTCTGTAAACATATTTCGTACAACCTATAGGGGAATTTTAGGAAAGGGAAAATTCAATGCAGAGATTAATAAGTATTTTTGAATTAAGAAAAAATAAAGAACAAGACTAGTATTTATTAACCAGGTCATTACAAAAAAAAGTCTTAGAAACATCAACCAAATTCTATACCCCTTGAGATCAAACTTTTGAATGAAGTGCAATTAATATTAAAATATTTTTCGGTGTTTGCTGTTAAAATAAAATAGCCCCAATAAAGCAATTATTAAAACAATTATTATCGATATTACACCTACAAAAATACACATATCTCTTCTAATTTTACATTAATTTGAATACTACTATAAATATAAAACAGTGCATCTTATTCAAATACAGCAATCACACTTATTACAAGCATATTTTATATCTTATTTACCTTAAAATACTTTGTAAAATAGGTTTATATGTAGCTGTACCATTATGCACTAGAAAGAATTTAATATTTGCATGTCTATATATCTATCGTTTTTTATACAATCTAATAACGGCACGCCTGTTGTAGATTTGAGTATTTGTTTCTTAATGATTTCTTGTTTACACATTTTTGATAAGCTAAAAAAGGCATTTTATATATAATTCACAAATATTTTGGATACATTTACCTACATTCAATACAATATTTTTTGGAAGAATAAAAAAGAAGCAATTAATTATATTTACAGTAATGAAATAGAAACATGATGATGCAAATTGGACACTTTCAAAAGAAATTCATAATTTCAAAACGGAGATGTGGAGATAACAGATACTATATCATGCTGTAGTCAGTTACAATAGTGTAAGAGCTAACAACGTTTTCGAGAAAATATTTTAAGACGTCTGGCTCTTTGATATATCTTTTACTATGCTCTCTGGAACAGCATGAGGCCCGTCTGGCTGCCGATACCCGTTGCGTTCACTACTGCGCATCGAAAGAAGATCCTATATTTTTTTATTAATTTAGTCCTATAAATTCTAGTATTGAATATAAATCGAACATGTCTCCATAGCGCAGTGCGTAGAGTTTCCGACCACGAACCAATGATTCATTCCGGTGAGTTAGAATCCGGGTCAGGTCAAAGACTTTTTTATTTTATTTTCGTTTATATTCTGATTGTAAAGTATTAAATAATTCTGGTAATTAAAAAAAAATATATTTAATACTTTACTATTAGAATATAAACTTAAAATAAAAAAGTCTTTGCCCTGACCCGGATTCGAACTCTGAATCATCGGTTCGTGGTCGGAAACTCTACGCACTGCGCTATGCTATGTTCGATTAATATTCGGTACTGGGGAATAAAATAGCCCCAATAAAGCAATTATTAAAACAATTATTATCAATATTACACCTAATAAAATATAGGATCTTCTTCTAATTTTACTTAATTTGAATACTACTATACGTTCAAAACAGTGCAGACGAACCAAATACAGCAATCACAGAACATAGTACAAGATATTTCAAAGAGCCAGACGTCTTAAAATACTTGTTTATCCGACGTTGCTAGCTGTACTACAATGTGATTACTGAAAACCAGAAATACGATCAAATGACATAATGTTTATTAGTGATCATGTGACCTGCGCTAATCAAAAACACTAGACTATAGAATGTTTGAGCGATTGTTCAACGTCCGTCATTTATTGTTATACACTCAGGATGCATCCAAAACGGGCATTTTAAATATAATTAACGAATTTTGAATAGATTTCCAGTAATTCTATTGGCTGAAATTTTTGACAGATGAATTTGACAGATAAAATTTCTGACAGATGAATTTTCAACTAATAGAGTTGCTGCAAATCGATTCAAAAGAAATTTATAATTTCAACGCCGTTTCTAGATAGTGGATGCACCCTCACTTGCCAACCAAAATGAAAGAGATTGACGTTATTATGGCATTGCGTAAATTACTGCATATTCTTCTTAGTAACTGCTTTTTATTCAAAGAGTAATTGTCATTGTCATTTGATTTGGTTATAATTTTATGATGGAGATCGATTAATGACAATGTGCGGCTTGCTGATGCTTTAGAAATAGGAATTTCGACAGTCAAAGAGTTGGGATGAAAAGATCGCAACTGATGAAGAGTTCAAGGAAAATGAATAAATGTCGAAAAAACGGAACTCGCTCAATCAATAATGTCGGAACGAGAAAATTTTCTAAGCTTTATTAATTGATCTCAGACACACCCTAAAACTCATATTTGACAAATAATGATGACGTAACAGTGAACAATGGCTGAACAGTCTTTACATAAGTCTGTAATAATATAAAATTTAATAGCCCCCATACACCAGAAAATCTGGCCTGGGGATTTGGTCTGAGGACTTGATCTACGGATAAAACCTTCGTGTGGCGAACCAAGCCTGTGACAGGCCAAATCCGTAGACTCGATCTGTCAGATTATATTGGTCTGGAAAACGATCAAAAGATAAAGTCCGCGGACTTGTAACGGTCTTTCCCTCTAAAGCCTAGTTGACACGGTCAAAATGTACTTCTAAAGCACTCTTTGTAACGTCTCTAGAAGCATTTTTAACAACTGTCAACTCTCCGATTAGTTTATAAGATGGTTACATTGTTGTTATATTTTGTATCGGTCATATAATCATAATTAACTGTTAGAGCTTGAACACACTGACGACCAGGTCACACCGGCCAGGCCGCTGTTACCTCTAAAACCATTAAATCAAATGATACTGCGCACACTAACGTTTTGGCCGTCCGTTGGTCGTTGCGACCAGTAGACTGCACTAAAATATTATTATTTTCTGCCGCTTGTTGCCGGTTTTCTTCCAAATTAATAATTTTTGAGATGAAATCCCTCAAATTCAACGCACAATATTTTATTTTCTATAAGATATACGTTTTAGTGTAGTTTTTGCACACGTGTAGAAAATCCATAGAAATAGTATACAGACTGGATCAAAGGTAAACTTAAATCTAGTCCCTTTTTTTATCAAGGGTCGATTCTAGTAAAAATTCAAAACATTTTTATATGACATACCTACTCTATTTATGGTTGGTATGATTACTTGTTATTATACCTTTGAGTTTTGATGTTAAAAAATAAAAAAAAATCATATATTTAAAGTTTTTCTACAACCACTTGTTTTTTTTTAAATTAGTTTTTTTAGTTGTATTGTAGTCATGTACAAGGAGGAGAACTATATTTTAAATATTATATTTAATTTAACGTTTTTCAAACAGGGTTAATTAGACTATATTTCTACTAGGTACATTATTTTTAAAAAAAAATTAAGAGTAAAAGTAACTTAAACGTTCATAAAAAGAGAAGTAATTGCTGTTGTGGATTCTCAGTAACAATAAAATGAGGAATTTATATTGAAAAAAAATATATAAACATTGAAATAACTGGAAGCTAAACTTTCTACCTGCTTATATTTAGAGCCAGTGTCTGACGACCTTTTTTTTACGATGGCCCTAATATGTTCACTTCTAAAGTCGATAAGAGCCATCAGTAGAAGTCCATATCAGTGGAAAAAAGAAACAGAATATCTCCCTTTTTGTCAGTGGCGAGTACACAATGCTTTTTGTTCGGCCTATTCGTTCTGCGTGTTCGTGCGTGCTCGATTCGG